AGGCTAAATCTAATGATGTAAATAATAGACCACCGGATAAATATGTGAATAAAAGATCACCATACGAAACACAGCAGCGTTAAGCTGCTATTTTACGCTGGTTTTCTGTGAGAGCGTGGTCTTTCCCCGGTCGAGCCGACCCATTCGTGCTACAACTATACTAGCAATATAGCTGCAGCATGGCTCTACCACGTAAAAATTATTTATTATTATGTATTTATTCTATCTATTACCTAATTTAGATTTCACTAATAACATAAAATTTTAATACTTTGTCACTTAACAAGGTTTTAAGACCTGTGTTTGTCATTTTTTAGGTAAGATTAAGATTTTCCGAAATTCTAGGTGTAAAAGTAAACTTCAAAACAGAGTTTTGTGTAACTCGGTACTCGAGTGAAAATAAATTTTACTCGAGTCCGCTTGCATTCGAGTTACCGAGTCAACTTGACGCACCGTGTGGGTTCGGAGAACACTAGATAGAAGTCAGTTTACTAACCCACTAATTCTATCATCTAATCAACTAATTCACATAGTATAAGGCGCCGCGGGTGACGTCACTGGTTACATCGAAATTCAAACTTGTATCTTGGTATGTTGTAAACAAATATGAACTTAGTTTGATTTATAATATCATGATTGTGCTATCATTTTTGTTTAATTTTTTGTTACTTCCTATAAGTAGTGCATAACATAAAAGATGATTTAAACATACTTGTTTGTTTGTAATATCAGTGATAACAATGACGCAACAAACCAAAAATCGTCAGTGTGGCATTATTTAATAAAAATCCAGATGGAAGCGATATATGTAAGAAGCAGTTTATAGATTTTGAAATACTACAGATATGAAAAAGAAGCATGGAAATACTACAAATAAATAAATATTAGTTCTTATTTCACATTGCCATATTTTATATTTTTAATAAAGGTACCTATTTAAAAATGCTTTAATTAAAGTAATCGCTACTCTCAACTCTAGTGATAAACTTCAATCGATGCAGGGACTGTAAATAGTCAGTTCGAATAGCTCAAAAACTCAAGTACAACTAGAGTAACATGATAAATTATTATTAACTCGCGTTACTCGAGTCACAAAATTCTACTTGAGTCGCATTTTTATCTTACGGTCAATGCAGTGTCTGTCTAGAATTTAGTGATTAACTCGACTTATTAATTCGAACAATTTATTGATATATTTTGTAATATTAATAAACTGACTAAGTATAATTGTCATAAAGTTAGAGTGATATTATTTTATGAAGATTGTCTATACGCAAACCAAAAATATATAACTTCGTATTAAGTTTAGTAATAATAATTATGTTGGATGAAGAACAAAATATAAAAGTAATTTGTAACAAACTGACATAGCTTCGTTCCGCCAAGTCGAGTTGCATAACTCGAGTACTGTTCGACTCAAGTTAACTCGTATCGAGTTTCTTCCGAATTAGCACATCTCTACTACAATTTTTTTTTTAATATTACATTAGCAGAACCAATGAGCTGAACACAAATATCAAAACAATTCTTTTTTTCTGATTACTTGATTCCGTTTAGATTTTCATACGATCTTTATGCCATTTACAATAATAAATTGGTATCTTTTTTTTTGTATATAATACCATTGAATGTCGTGAAAATTTCTAGTGGGTCCAAATACGATTGACTCCTTTCACAAAGACAGACCTGGAACATTTAACACTTGTTCCGTGCGGGATTCTTGCCTAAGGCCATTAGCGTTGCAACTCATTCCTAAGCCACTGCTCTACGGAGCTGTGTAGCATTAGTATGCAAACACATCGAGTTCGATCCCAGCTGGTACCAATAAATTAGCGTCAAACATACAGAAGTGGAAATGGAATAGGTGTTTTAATTGACAGTCGTACGATTACTTTGCGTGACTAACATGTTTGCTTCTAGTTTGAATGAGTTTAGTCCGTAAGGAATGGATACGCGATTTCAATAAATAATATAACCTTTATCGAATAAAACAGACATAGAGTGTTTATCGAGCGAAGTCTAAGAACAGATTGACGACAAAAATGGAATATAACTTGTATATAGTTGGAAACAACAGGTAACAAAGGGTGTCAATAAATCTTATTTTCATGAACGTCAGCATAATTTGTTCCAAATAATTTTATCATGTATCATAGTTGGAAACAGCAGGAAACGAAGGGTTGTCGTACAAATTATTCTCATGAATGTCAAAATAATTTGTTGTAGAACATTTTATTATGTACTTTGCAACTTATTGCTATGTTTTGCTTTGGGCTGACAAAGCATATATCTACAGGCTGAGTATCCTTAGCTAACTCGCGTACAAACATACGAATACGTGGCCTGACTGACAATGGCGCGAAGATCGTGCGATTGTCAGTTAGGTAACCAGAGAGGACTTTCTGATACCAACTAAAAATAAAGATAAATACGGTTGTCAACCCGTTTGTTGTTGTTTTTTTTTTAGCATGGCTTTACCACTTGTAATTAATAGATGGTAACATACCATCTCGTATATACCGTTACCGTTACAACCTATCAAAGTTACGGAAACGTTAATAGTAACGGAATAGTAACGGTACCGTTACGTGTGTTGTGCGGTGCAGACGCGGCGGCGGCGGCGAGGAGCAGGCGCCGTTCCTGTCGAGCGGCAGCAGCGCCGCCACGCGCTCGCTGCCGCGCCCCGCGCCCTTCCCCAACGGCAAGCCGCCCTCCTACAGCGCGGCCGTGCAGCTCATGGACCTCGCCGAGCCGCAGCGCCCCAGGTACCGCTGTCCGTTACCGCATGTCGCCAACACACCACCTCCTGCAACATTGACTGTCTCTATTGGACGTGTGGCATACGTACTTTCTTTATACATGGATGAACCACAGTTTACACCTCACAGTTGTGAAACGGATTTGATGTCATGCGATGCCGCCACCCGCGAGGTATTGACGCCAGCGTGTATGCTAGGGGTTGTCACGAAAATCATTTTGGATATTACAATACTCTTTATTAACATTATGTACATACTTATAAATTAAAAACAATTATCGAACAATATCATTTTTATTACTACAATAAAAACACACTCATAAGTGTTGCACTGCCAAATATTTTCGTAACACTTTGTTCTTATAGATGTTTTCATTTTTCCATTGTTAAATTTAATAATGTAATGTATTCGCATTCGCATAAATAATTAATTCAAAAAAAAGAAGAGGGAAACAAGCATGGCCGTCATTTGAATTCAATTTTACTTTGTAACATATTTAACTATACTCGTAACAGTAATTCACCATTATTGATATTAAATTTTTCGAAAATTGCACTTAAAATTAGTTAAATAAGTACTATATAATTTAAAATTGTGTACAACCGACTTCAATATAAATTATTAATAATAACTAAAAACGATTTGTCAGACCTTGATCAAATTTATATGGGACCACACGAGAAGCACCAGCTCTCAAATAAAAAAAGAACCATCGAAATCGGTTCACGTCGAAAAAAGTTATGAGGTAACAAACATAGCACACAAAAGAACATACAGTCGAATTGAGTACTGTCCTTTTTGAAGTCGGTAGAAAACACGCTCGCGCCAACCGCATGTATTGTCTATCAGACTCAGTGAACAGCGCTAGCACTAGATCGGCCCGCCCCCTGCCTCGCAGTGCCTCCCTCCGTTGCTTTGCGCAAGTATATTCGTTTCCCAACTGTAAGGTTTTTAAACTGTGTGCAGCCATATAATAATGCCCTCTTGACTGAACTTCGGTCACGGCGTCCAGACTCAATAACGACCGTCTGCGCAGGACAGGATTAAAGTGCACGAGTGTATGCGCAAGCACGGATGCTCTCTCTCTATTTTGATGAGTCGGTAATTCGACTTGACCGTAGAATAGGAATGCCAGATCGGAAGACCAAAATGTCTGGACAAAATTTGAAGATGTCGTGATTTTGGGGTTGTTGTTGGGGGAAAGAAATATTATAAATAAAAAAAGTAAAATAAACACATGTAAAGTCCAATGTCAAATACATGGTTGTCACGTGTATTTGTTATTGAACTTTACTGAGTATTCAGAAAAGATTTAAATTTTAAACAATTTACTTCAAAGTTCGGTGTAATTACTAATTGAAGATGTTTGTCTGGAGATTTTGAGTTCTGTCGGGAGACTGGAGATCATTCAAAATGTCGGAAGAATCCAGACGAATCCTGACCATCTAGCAATCCGGAGAGAGATCAAGCGCAGAACCAACGGCTTCACGTGCTTTCTGACGCACTTCATTTGGGGTGATACACCGCCAATTTCATGACTCCGGGCTGGTACTGATATTTAAAAACTCAATAATTGATTTTGGCCCGATCCAGAATTTGAACCCGAGACCTCATGGTCGATTCTGTTTACGACCACTACACCAACGGGGCAGTCAAGTTAGAGTTTCATAAGGCGAGTGTAGAGAACCGCAGACCCTTATTACTGGTAACAAAACATTCTATCTTAGTCCTCAGAGGTGATAACGCTTCTTTTTCTTCTCATTTTGATTCTTAATCGAGGATAGATGTGGATGTCTAGTTGCCATAGTTTCTCTACATCTCAAGAAAGGCGTTATTTGGGACGTAGATAAATTATATACTTTTAATTGTAATAAGAGTATTTATATAAAGAACAATAATCCAGTGTGAGTTGACATGTTGCAGTGCGGATGCTGCGTGCGCGCGCAGGTCGCGCATGTCGGGCAGCGCGACGCTGGGGCGCGCCAGCGGCGGGCTGGGCGCGCTGGGCGCGCTGGGCGGCGCGCACACGCTGGGCCGCGCGCCGCACAACGGCAAGTACGCGACGCTCAGCAAGCAGTGCAAGACGCTCGAGAGCAGCGACTTCTACTGAGAACGGCCCGGCGGCGGCGCGCACAACGACCCCACCGCCGGTTAGTTCATCCTACATTCTCTAATATTGTTTCCCGCGTTAATTGTCCTACACAATCCGATTTATATTTAATATATTTCATAATCACAATCATGTTTTTACGTGGTATAGGCAAGCTGCAGCTATATTATGGTTGAAGCACGAATGGGTCGGCTCGACGGCGGTAGGATCACGTTCTTAGAGAATACCAGCGTAAAATCGTAGCTAATGCTTCTGTTTTTCGTATGATGAGTGTAGAGAACTGGAGACCCTTTTTACACGAAACGAAGCATTCTATCTTACTCCTCAGGGGTAACAACGCAAATGTATTTGAAATCTTAATCGAGGATAAATGTAGATGTTTATGGGCCTCAGCATCCACTTACCATCAGATGGACTGTGTGATCGTTTGTCACCCTTATTCTATAAAAAAAAATACAATGCATATTTTTTGTAGTGAAAACTTTTTTAGCATTGTGATTTGAAACTCGATAAAACGAAAAAGGGACACTAAAAAGAGACATATACAGGATTCAGCCTAGCCTGCGAGAGAACGAGATAGAATACAGTACACCGTGTTTTCAATTATCTCGGTCTCCTTTTCTGAAGGCTTCACTTCTACAGCTTTCGAACTAACGAACCCTTATGTGTCTCTATATATACGGTATTGCTTATAAAACTTTACATCAATTAAAGAAATCCTTAAATTTTTTCTCTCTGTCTTCACTGAATGACAATAGAAGGAGACAGGTATAGAGATAACTAATAGCTCTTCAATTAAGCGATAATAAATGATTATAATGAGTAAGGCGAATACTTATTAAAATATTATTAATTTCCACAATATGATTTTTCTGAATCCATTAATAAACGACGAACACACATTTTTCACTTTATATTAAATAAATCTATACAATAATGTAAAGTAAAAAAAATATATATATTAATCTATTGCATGTTTTAGAAAAAAACATACCAAAATTATTAAGGATACTGGGAACTTTAAAAATTTGTTTGTTATCATAATTTATTTTTAATATAATATAAGAAGATTAAATTAATAATTTGAAGACAAAATCCTACATCTGCATGTTTGACTTGTGAACCCTATCAACAACAGTGTATACTTAACCGCAGGACAATCTGGCCGCGCGGTGAGCTTGAACCGTTTCGACCCGAAGTACGCGTCGTTCGGGCCCCGCGCGCCCCGCCCGCGCCCCGCCGCGCCGGCGCCTCCCCTCGCCACCTTCTCTCCCGCGCCCGCCCCCAACCCTGCCACTACTGCTACCCCTAATGCTAACGGCTCCTTCACTCCCGCGGCCGATAAGTACGCGACAGTCCGCCCTTCGCGCCGTACCGAGCCGCAGCCGCTGTCGGCTGCCGCGCTCGAGTACCGCAGCCTTCAGCGACCTCGCCGCCAGCAGCAGCCCAACACGGGCACTCAGCATCGCCGCCGACCCGACCGACAACACCATGACCAACGCGACCTGTACGCAGTCACGGAATTGTAAACACTATTTGATAAGCAATAAAGTTGAAATTCGATTGCCGCATATACAGATAGTTCCGACGCCGATCCGACTGGCAGCATCACGACCGATGCTCTACATGTGCCTCACCGAACTATGCTCGAAATAGCAATAAAGTGAAAATTGATTTGCCGCCGTCACCGAACTGTAAACTCTATTTACTAAGGAATAAATTTTATCGTAAAACGAAATTCGTTGCTTTTTCTTAGATTTGTATGTTATACAAATAAATTGAAATAGCATCGGCGCTAATGCTGCCTTTTTTGTAAGTTTTAGAGCACCATGACTTCTTCTTATGCTGTTACAGAAATGTAAGCGACTTTTCTAAGGATAAAATCGAAACTCGAATAGTAAAATGTGCGGAGTAAAGTTCGAATCGATCGACATTACACGCTTTTGAATGAACATGATTTACAATAACAATATCCCGTTAAATATAATGGCATGGCATGAACAATAGACATACCAGTAATTTATATTACAGTTATTTACATTTGTATGCGAAGTATTGCGTGCAGTTTATGCAAAGACGAGTACGAAAACTTGCAAATATTAAGATGTTTAACGTAAGGGTTCCAGTTATAGTTAATATTCGGATCTGTACCTATTATAATGACACAAACAGCATGTAAAAATGTAACAAGATTTTTATATAAAGGAAGCTATGATATCTAAATCAAGCAAATATGAACATTATTTGCTGGAGTTAAAAGTTATTTTGTCGTCCCTTGTCCTTAAACGAATGTCACTCGAATGCTCTACTATGCTAATCATAGTAAAATGAGATGAGTGATATTTTGAATTTGTGTATTTTATTTATGTCAAAAATTTGATTTTGTTTTCAAGAAAACTAGGAAATTGATTTTGTATGGGATATGTAATCGCTCAATTGACGTTATCATGTGTCAAAACTTTGTTGAAAAATAAATTGCATTCTTTTTGTATGTACTGTTTAAGTAAATGCTCAAATGTTATAAAATGGTCTAATTTATTTGTATACTCTATTGTTTGTTTACTTTATTTTTTAAATTCGTTTTTATAACAAAATTTACATATAAAATATAATTTTGTAAATTTCACAGGCCTAACGAATGTTTTATATGCGTTTTGGTAATTTGATAGACACTTTTTAACACCTTTATATATTGTTATTCAGTTAAAAAGGTATTTTAACTGTGTTTAATTCGACGTCTCGGTAAATGAAAATCGATTACAATTCGAAACAAGGAATTGCTTTTTATTATCAAAATAAAAAATAAAATAAAAAAACTTTTCATTATTACTGTACCACAGTAGATATATGTAAGCGACTTTACCTCCCATTTTTCTATAATGTCCACACTGATGGCTGTGTAAGAATCGTAATTGACCAATAACGATAGAATATCGTTACAAGTTTATATTTTACATTTTAACGCGTTTGTGGTAACACAGGTCTTTGAATGTACGATTTTGGACTCTGTTTTAGCTCAATGTAGAATTAAGGTGACTTTCGTGTTTTGGTCTAATTAATCGTTAATGGTACATGTTAACGTTAAATAGCTCTTCTAGCGTGCGAAGAGAGAATGCCAAAGTAGGAAATTGGTTTATTAGAGAAATACGCGTTGCGTTCATTAAAGTAGGAAGAGTCGTGTAGATTTCTATGGTCATACCATTGTACTGTAAACGACTGTAGACCTTATCGAGTTTAAAGAACCGCGATATTAACAGCAGGCTAAATTATAATGTACACTTAGTCTCATATTATAATATAAATTTTGTATATATACATTTAATAATTTAATCGGTATCTATAGTACACTGGTATTTATTTTAACTAAGCTCGGTTTTGTGTGATGTAACATTTATTAAAGGTATTCAAAGCTGTATAGTTCTTAAGTAGATTGGAAATGAATAGAAGGAACGTATCGTTGATTTGGAATCTCCTATCGAATTAGTGCTTTGGGAATATTTTCTTTAATGTATTATATTTACAGCTCAAAGAATTTGAACTACTTTAGAGCTGACCTAAATGTATATATTAAATTTAGTCACCTTTAATTGCAAAATTTTCTAGTATTTAGGTATTTAATATTGAATTATATAATAATTTAAGAGTAAGCATTCCATTGTCTAAAGTGGATTTGGTGCAAAACGAGACTTAAAAATCAATCTTATCACTTGATAATAGGGTTCGAATTGAAACTGCCATTTGACAAAATAATGAAAAGATTCTAGTGCTATTATTTTAAAGGGATATGTAGGTACTACTTGCGCTGTAACACCACAAATGTATTTGATAATAATATAGATATAATAGAACAGAAATGATCGTGAAAATTACAATTCATGTTAAGGGAATATGAGTTAAAACAACTACAATTACGGTCGACTATTGCTTGTATAATGATGTTCATAAATATTAATTGTATTTGAAATTTGTAGAATGTATTATTTTAAAATGGTGCAAATTAAATAATAACATAAGTTTTCCCGAAATCGTGAATAAAAGTATCAGTAGTATTGACAGTTTTTGACGAAGAATGCAGTTGAATAGTATAATACCAACCGTAACATGCAATAATAAATATTAAATAGATAATTTTCCGTCATAAATTGGTGTTTTCACGATAATTTCTTCAATAAAATTATCTTTTAATGATAAAATAGTTTTAGTGGTAAGCGACATGGTACCAGTTTTTATTCAGTATTAAGAATAGTGAATTTTGTGAGACTTTACAACGACGTTGGTACATTTTTTATGATCGATATATTATTTAGTTATCTCGAACAATTCTTTCGGTACCGTAAGCAGTGTATTCGCCAAAGATATTGCATAATTTAATGTAAGTAATGCATAGTTAGGATAGGGGTAGGATTAATGTAGGCTCACGTTGTATTTTTATTGGCTGCCATATTGTACAAATATAAGTGCTGATCTTTGGAGATTAGCCGCAATGAATCGCAATGCAACTGAAATTAAGAACTGATAGGTTTCACGACTCTATTTCAATGTAAACTTAGTTATCTATCCATCATTAAAAGGTTAATTTTACATTTTACGAACATAATTCTGTCGCTTCATTGTGCACTCGATCTCCTTGAGTTAATTTTTTTTGTATTTTGTACTGTTTATAAAAGCTTCATCATCTGATAACTTGTTGGTGCCAAGCAATTTTGATTCGTATTGGTCTCAAGTTTAAAATGAAAGTTTTATATTGAGAACATTAATGTCAATTGCCTTTATCAATAGTACAGTCAACAAAAAATTACAGATAATTTTATAACAGTTTATAATTTAAATTATTCACCAGCTGGTTTAAAACATTACACTGTAGACGTACATATTGCTCCAATTGATGAGTTTTCTTATTTGCTTATATTTTTATATTACTTTTTGGTGTACTGTACATAAGATTCGACTGTCATAGCTTTATTATTTAAACATATAACTTTTTTTTAATTTATTTTTGTTTATCTGTAAAGGATTATATAACGCCTTTGACAATAGTTCCTGATTTGTTTTATATTTCATATTTAAGAATGTTGTTTTTACCTGCATGTATATTTGATAAAATTGAAGAGAATTTTATGATGTCAGTAATATTAACTGTCTGCCTATGCATACATACTCGTACATATACAATACATAATTTACACGGTTTTTCATGTAATTATTGCACAATATTTATAATCGTAATTATGGAAGAAATAAATTAGGCTGATGTTATATCGTAGCACTTTAATTACTTGTTTCCTCATAATTTGCGCGAAATGTTCTTAGGTTTTAAGTGAAATAATTAGGATATCGCGAAAGAATGTAAATGACATTCATTACTCATAAACAAACATACATACATAATATATAGTTACCATAATTTCAAATTTTGACCATTTGATACTAAAGGTGCGTTTTTAAAGGTTTTCAATAATGATAAGTGAGCAATCTTTGTTTATATGCTATACTTTCTTGTAGTTTGCACATTTGTTAGAAAGTTATAGATATATCAGACATTTTCAATGTCCCAGCTTTTCTGATTTTTTTTCTAAATACAAAATATTTTGTAAATTATGCGAATTAACAGCTCTTCTATTTATTTAGAGTGCCATATGTTTTTCAAGTTCACATATTGCGGAATTATCTATTATCTGATTTGAAATTTAAGTTTATTTTATTTAAAAATAATAAGTTTATCGATTGTTATTTTGTTTTCGCTTATGACAAACTTTTTTCGCTTTTTCAAGTCAATTATGGCGCGGTTGAGTATGTTGAACTATGACTTGCCTCTTTGTATTGTGGGGAAATTCCTTTTAAAGCACAGTTTGTCAATGTGTAAACCATACCGTCTTGTTCTTGCTCATGATATTGCCTTATATTCTTCTCGCTCGTCGGAAACTTCCCACAATGTACTAAGAGTGTTTAAGTCTCATTTCATGATTTAACAATGTGCGTAAAGCAAGTTATAAACGGTTGATGAATAGATCAAAGTATGAGTTTACAATAAAAATAATAAATGGTTTAAAATGTGCGTTTTGTTTCATTTATATTTATATACTGCCGTGTAGTAGCGACGTAGTATCCGCTACCCCAAATCATCCCGTGGTTCTCGTAAGTGGGTAAATAGGAATTGATACAGGAGAAGGGCATCAGTATCTTCACTCAAAGTAATAAAAACTCTGCGGCTGTCAACCCGCCTGACAAATATGCTCTCTATGAGGCATTCTATGGGGAAAGCCTATGTTCCGTAGTATAGTTTTTATAGGCTGTAATGGTAATGACAATATTTACGTATTCGTTACACTGCTAGACATGGATTTCACCACATAGTGAAGGGGATTTGTTATTACTGCAGTACCAAAAACCAAAGGTTTGTTAACCGTATATTATGTTTGTAATTTATGTTCTAATCGCTAGCTAATTTTTTTTTATAGAAGAGGGACAAACGATCATGCTTCTCACCTGATGGTAAGTGTCGACCGCCGCCTGCGGACAACTGAAACAC